AAAGCCCATGCCTACATCAATAAGCCACACAGTTCTATTGATGTGGACACTCCTTCTCCTTTCCATATGTATGGTCCATCCATGGACTCCAGAGTTAAAATTGTTTGCTCTGGGCTTTCCCAGACATCCTTACAGTCCTTAACAACCTTTAGCTGGAACAGAAACTCATGCACCTCCAAATTCCTTTGTTGAAAGAGAAATAGACAAATGGTTTTTTCCAATATTTTATTATTTTTATTTTATGTGTACAAGTATACTGGCTTCATGTGTGTAAATGCACCTGTGTCATGCAATGACGACGGAGGTCAGAAGGGGGCATCAAATTCCTCAGGAACTGGAGTTACAGATTGTTGTTAGCCTCCATATGGGTACTGGGAATTAAATCTGGGTCCTCTGTAAGGGTAGCCAGTGCTCTTAACCTCTGAACCATCTCTCCAGACCCCAGAAATGTTTTTAAAAGAGAAGTTGTGAAAATAATGGTGGCTGCTATGTTTTAGACAAGTACCCCTTAAAAGTCCAGATGCTGAAGGCTGGCTCCTAGCCCATGGTGCTTTTGGGAGGCTGTGGAACCTTTAGGACGCAGAGCTGAGAGAAGGAAGCTGAGTCACTGGGGGTGTGCTGTGAAGGGGATGTTAGGACCCCAGTTCCTTCCTCTTTTTCTTTGCTCCCCAGCAGCGAGTGGAGACACTTTGCTCTACCACGTTTCCCACCATGATGTGTTGCCAACAAGCCCCAAAACTATGGAAGCAGCCAAACACAGACCCAAACCCCTGGAACTGTGAGCCAAAATAAACCTTTCCTCGTTTTAAGTTATCTCAGCTCTTTTGTTACAGTTTTGGGGAGCTGATTAACAAACACAAGGACCACACCCATTTGATAAGTGTGAAAAAAAAAAGAAAAAGAAAAATAAAGGCAACTCAAAATAGCCGAAATAAATTATGTCTAAATATCCATCGATATATCCTGCACTATATTAGTGAAGGACATGGGATCAAAACTCAGAAAGTTTTGATGAATTTTCTGTGCTGCCAACTCACATGTAATTGGCCTTATCCTAAGTAAGGTAAACTCTGCCCAAGAAAGGAAATGACATGGATGGTGTGGACCTAGGCTTCCAGTACCCCCTCTGTCCACTGACTGATTTTAGCCAAGAAGTAAACTTAATCTTTACCAATGTGGGATTTTAAAATAATACTACATGATTTCCAAAGTCTGTTCAGTTTGAACAATCATTTGGACTGATTTATTAAAGACATCCTTTTGTAGTTGTTGTTTACTGAAATAGGGTCTTAATATAAAGGTCTAGCTGGCCTCAAACTTGAAATCCTCTTGCTTCAGCCTCCTTAGTGCTTAGATTAGAGGTATATACCACCACATAAGACCGCATTAGAGACATCTAAGGCTAAAAGAATCAAAACTTTTTCTTAAAGTTCCTAGAAATAAGTACTTTAGGCTGTGGATCCTGTAGTTGGGGTAACTGCTTAACTTTGCTGTTGCATAGAAACTAGCCATAATCAACACAAAAACAAAGGAGCATGCCTGTGTGCCTGTCAATTTTCACTTATGGACATGGAAATTTGAATTCCACGTCACAAAGTATTTTTCTTCTTTTGAGAAAATGTATACAAAAAATCCAGGACTCTCAAGAGAAAAGATTTTGTTTTTGAGAAAAGGGCTCATTTTATAGCCTAGGCTAGCCTTGAGCTTATGGGTGATCCTGTTGCCTCAGCGTCCTATGTGCTGCGATTACAGGCATGCACCACCACGCCTGGTCTAGAAAACGTTTTGATAACTATAAAATAGCAAGAAAACTTTACATGTTCTTTCAAAATCATCTCATACACTCCATAAACCTGACTTATTTTGCTCCCCTGCCTCTATCAGGCAGCAAAATGAGTGATTTTACAGATGTGAGAAGAACTGAGTGAACACTGCTTCCTGTGGTTGTTAATGCTGCTTTTGTTTGGAAGAGAAGAAAATTAACAAAAGGACTTGCTAGTTTCAACCTAAAGTGTTCCCCAAATGCATGTGGTAAAGTCTTGCTGGCCAACTGGACAGGTTTGGGGGAAGTGATTGAATGGTGAATACTCTGGTCTCCTCAATGGGTAAAGTACCAATGATGGGCTCATAGTTGGAACACTGGGAAGTGATAGAGGCCTAACAGTGGGAAACAGGTCACTGGAGGTCTGCCTTTTGTGTAGTTAGATTTTTGTTAGTGTGACAAATACCTGGGAAGAACAACTTAAAGGAGGAAATATTTATTTTGGTTCATGGCTTTGGAAGTTTCTGTTGGTCAGCTTGCTCCAATGTTAGAGGCCTGTGAGGAGGCAGACATCATGATGGTAAGAGCACATAGCAGAACAGCTGTTTACCTCATGGTGATCAGGAAAAAGAGTACACTACAGGAAGCAGACTGGGGCAGGTAGATCTTTACAGGGTATATATAACTCCAGTGACTCACTTCTCAAATCTAGACCCCACTTTCCAACATCACATACCACCTCCCAATAGTCTAACTAAATTTTGAATCCAATTGATAAACCTATCCATGAAGTCAGAACCCTTCTGATACCAAAAGCCCTACCTCTGAACACTGCTTGACTTTAATATGTGAACCTTTGGGAGGGATGCTTCATATCCAAACCTTAGCACCTTCGATAGATATATTTTACCCTTAGTGTCTCTCTCTCTCTCTCCCTGCTTCATTGCTGCCATGAAGTGAGAAGGGTCTTCACCACACACTCTCCACCATAATGTTTGGTCTCACCACAGACCCAGGGTAATGGAATCAACCGACTATGGATTGAGCTCTCTGAAACTGTAAACCAATATAATCTTTTCCTCTTCTAGGCTGTTTCAGATATTTTGTCGTACAACAGAAGGCTGACTAACATGCATGCATATGGCATTTATGTACATTCTACAGGTACAGTATATAGACTCAGCAGGGGTGGCAAGCAATGTGGAGAGGGATTGGCAGAATCTGGGACACAGACAACAGAGAAAGATTGCGTGGGATTATATCAATCTGTGGTGTGGTTTACAACTTTGACACAGAGATGGCAAAAGATGAAGGCCTGTGGTGATAGCTTCTCAAGTTAAATCATTTAAATCAGAAGATAACACCCCCTTCCAGTTAAAAGGTAAGATGGTAGAGGGAAGATTTGAAGGAAGAACCCCTCCTTCTGGGACAAAAACCCACAGTGTTAGATCCATTGGGAAGACATAAGGAGTTGGGAATACTTCCTCATCTGTGCTTATTCTTAACTTATAATTTAATAAAATCAGTTTGACCATTAGAAATACAAGGGTCTCAACCCTCCCAATCTTAGACTTTTGACCACTTTCTCCTAAAGGCTCAGGACTGGTTTGGACTACACTGTATTTCACTTGACCTTAACCAAAAGATGGAGAAGCGGTTAACATAGCTCTGCATTTCACTATTTTACCTCATGTTCTACAGGTTCTCAGTCCTTGTTCTGTCTCAGCCTGATCAGATCATCTCTGCTGGGATTCCCCCATCTCTGTTCCACTTTCTCTATTCCAGCCAATATGTAGGACCCAGCATGGGTCTTGCTCTCCCATATCTGAATTAACTCCAGACAAAATGAAACAATACAAATAGAAAGTGCTCTGAAATGGTGCTATTTTTTGGAGTAATTATGAATTAGGTTTGGCCCATTGTTACAGCTTAAAGTGCTTCCTAGTTGTTTCCTATATTGTTGGCCTAATATTACAAAACCACACAAAGCTCTCATTAAGATAGGAGTCACATTTTATTCTTGTGTATCCTCTCAGTCTCTAACAACACATAGCTACAGTAACAATTCCAGTGAAATAAATTAATCAGAATAATGCCTTTCTTAATTAACCACATAGCTCCTTACTGGGTCCACTTAAAGCTGTTAAACATGCTAAGAAATTGTTGATCAGTTTATAGAGTTGCAAATGAAGCCTTGAAGCAGAATAAACGTGACTTCTATAATTAATAAAATCCAACCATTCTCCATTTCATTCATAAAATGTTGACTCGGAAACTGAATATACTAAATCAGAGATTCAGACCCAGATATTCAGATATTTCCGTATTTTGTCTAAGGACACAAGCTCAAGGACTGCAGTTCTGAAATCTGGTATTGTTCTTGACTGTTGTCCGTTTCCCCCTTCCTGCTTTCACAGTAGAGGATGTAGTACTTGCCCTGTTTCCTTTTGTTGGCTTGATTGATGAAGTTTTTGGTCCAAGATGCTATAGACTGGGCACAAAATCTTGCCAAGTTCCGGTTAGCACTTAGGTAAGAGCACTCTACTACAAGTGTGGACCAGCTCTCCTTCCAGGTGCCTGGATTGTGTGGGTTTGTAATATAAAGGTTTTATTTGACTGACTTCTGGTCTCTTCCACAGTCTGCCTCTTGGTTACACTACCTTGCCTCAGTCTACTTCAAAAGCTAAAGAAAGAACAAGGCCAAATAAAATAAGACTAGGTAAGGATAACGGAACGTGAAGCTCTTACAACTGGCGCTTTGGACCCAGTTCAAGAGGGTGATTAGGGACTCTGAAGAAGCAGGCCCAAATGATACCTCCCACGCCCAGTCCTGCGCCCTTCCGGAGTCAGTGGGTTGGGGACTGAGATGTTCATCAGACCCGAGGGCAGGCACTGCTGCACAGACCTCCGGACTTCCGGACTGCCTGGCCCCGCCGCTCCACCGCGGGGCAGTGCAGTCTCCAACGGGACAGCGAGAAGCGACTACCCGAGACCAAACTGCCTCCCCTTACTGACCAACGCTCCAGTGGGATAAAGAGAGATGGTGTGACTGACAAGGGGGTATGGCGTGGAGAGGCACCGCTATCCAATCGAAACAGAGGCCAGTTCCTGAACTGACCAATCAGAGGGCATAAAGGAAGATGACGCGCCCACCCACTACTCTGCGTTGACCGGAACCGCGGCAACCGTTAGCCAACGAGAAGGAAACGAGTCGTTGAAAGAGCGGCGTTGATTGGTGCATCCTACATCGTCTGAGTGAAAGCCCACTTGTGATTCGTCTAAGTAGGCCGGAGCCGGTGGGACGGATAGGACCGAATGTGAGGTGAGTCCGGGCCAGGGGAACCCAAGAACCTGGAGAGGGGGTAGCTGGGGAGCCCGGGGAGAAGTCGGAGGCCGGTGCGGAGCCGGGACAGGCGAGGGCGGCGCGCGGGCCTCGCAGTCACCTTAGCGGCGGTTCTGGACCTTCGGCCCGGAGGCTCAGGGATACTGAATTAGGGATGGAGAACGAAAGGCTGTTTTCTGTTTCCTGTTTTTAAGAAAGTAAAATGTTAGTGCCTGCTTTAGGTACCTTTTTCTGACACTTTAGTCCTCCAGCGCTAGCCCTGGGAGCTGATGATGAGTGGGGACAGTGGTTTGTCCCGCCCGTTGGAAGTGAGCAACGGGGAGAGCAGCTCAGGTCCAGCGCTCCTGGGAGGTGCAAGGTGCTGCTGTGTGAACTGGGAAAAGGGCAGAATGGGTCCGAATACGGCGCATCGGTGGTACTTAGGGAGCTTGGCAGTTGGTGTTACCCTGACTTCCATGTGACTTGACTAACAACGGCGGAGGCATTATCCTAATATTTTAAAACCTAAACGATAGTAAAGTTTTTAAAGCAGAAAAAAGTGCGAGCGTTCAGTTCAGTTACTTCGCTGTTGAAAATGTTCAGTTCAAATACTTCGTTGTATTTCCCAAGCTGGCCTCTGACTTGTGGTCGTCTAGTCTCAGCCTCCTGAGTGCTAAGATGACAGGTGTGTACCACCATGCCTGGCCACTCTAATTAATTTTGAACAAGCAATAAAGAAATTGAAAAGGATTTCTCCAGAAAGGTAATCCTGCCCTGTAATCCACAGTTTTCTGGTGCTTTCAAGGACTTGAGTCTGAAAATCGAGGAATGGGTGAGGTATCACCCACCACCAGCAGCTTTAAGCCACATTACACTCTGCATCTGTCCTGGACAGTAAGTCAGCCTGTAAAAGCTATTATTTTTTTCCCTTAAGAGCCTCAGTCTGGTGGTGAGGGCTGTTTTTTTAATCCAGTGAGTTCTGGATGCAGGATTTATCTTCCCTTCAGTTTTCTGTGAGAACTAGATGAGAGGGTGTGTGGAAACGATCTTAGATGAAGGAACAGTGTAGCACACATACACCCAAAAGGGTTTGCAGAGACTTTCCAAAGAAAGGCAGCCTCCATCCCAGGGAGAAAAACAACAAAACACCCGGCCTTGTAGTTACCCTTGTCAGCTGCTAAACAAAGCATTTAAATTTACACTTTTTTTTTTTTTGCTTTTATTCTAGGCTACTTGTTTTAAATGAATTTCCTCTTAAAATTGTGTTGGCTAAATCATCAGTTCTCAAAGAATATTCGAAGTTCTGAATTATAAATGAACAAACACTACTTGTTTTTATCAAAGTTCACTAATGAATAATAAGTTAGCTATTCCAGATGCTTGGGGATGTAGCTCAGATGGTAGCGTGCTTGCCTATAGTATTAATGATGCCAGTGTTCAATCCCCAGCACTTCATGAAGAGGAAGTGGTGGCACACACCTGTAATCTCAGCAGCAGGAAGATCAGAAGTTCAAAATCACTGGGGCTGGAGAGATGGCTCAGTGGTTAAGAGTACTTGATGCTCTTCCAGAGGGGCCAGATTCAGATTCCAGCACCCACACTGGGTAGCTCAAAACTTTCACACACACACACACACACACACACCACACACGAGACATGCATTCACACAGACACATACCCATAAATAAAATAAATCTTGGGGAAAAAAGAAGTTTAAGGTTATCCTCAGCTATATAGCAAGTTGGAGGCCATCCTGGGATACATAAGGCCCTGTTTCAAATTTTAAAAGTTAAAGTTTTAAATGACCTATTCTAGTAGGGGGAATAATCAGTATTATTTCTCACATCTAATTTTTTTTTTTTTTTTGTCTTTTTGAAACAGGGTCTCCTTGTAGCCCCAGCTGTCCTAGAACTCACTATGTAGACCAGGCTGGCCTCGAACTCACAAAGATCCGCCTGTCTCTGCCTCCCAAGTGCTGGGATTAAAGGCATGCACCACCATACCGGGCCTAATCTTATTTTTAAAAATATTTATTTTTTCTGTGTATGAATGTATTGCCTGCATATATGTAAGTGCACCTGTGTCATTCAGTGCCTACAGAGATCAGAAGAGGGCATCAGATCCCCTGGTACTATAGTTATGGACAATTGTTAGCCACAGTAATCCCAGGTACTTGGATTCGAACCTAGGTATTGTGCAAGAGCAACCAGTGCTCTTAATCACTGAGCCATCTCTCCAGCCCCTTTCACATCTAATTTTAAAAATGACTATATATTTGTTTCCTCTACGGCATCATTCTATAGTATGCCCAGCCCTTCCTTTCCATATTTAAGATATATGGTTTGGGGGCTGAAGAGATGTCTTGGTGGTTAAGAATGCTCACTGCTCTTCTAGAGGACCAAAGTTTAGTTCCCAGCACCCACATGTGGTGACTCACAGTTGTCTGTAACTCCAACTCCAGAGGATCTGACACCTTCAGGCATCTGTGGGCACCTTGCACACACACACACACACACACACACACACACACACACAAATAAAAAAATTTAAAAACCTGGGGCTGGAAAGATGGCTCAGCAGTTAAGAACACTGATTGTTCTTGCAGAAGACCCAGGTTTATATCCCAGCACCCACATGGCAGCTGACAACTGTCCATAACTCCGGTCCCAGGGGATCCAACAGCCTCTTCTGACCTCTGCGGGCATTACACAACACAGGTGCACTTACCTATATGCAGGCAATACACACATACACATAAAATAAAAATAATTAAAAAAAATTAAAAACCCAAAATTTATGCTCTGGTTAAATAATGAGCCTCATTTTTAGGATAGAGGACTGTTGATCTTACTTTTTAAAAAGTCATAGCACATATGTAATTCAAAGTCTTCAGAGCTAGTAAGCCTCCATAGGAGATCAGTGTTTCTAATGTTACCAGCTCTTAAGAGTTGATCTAGGTCTTCTACATTATTATGTAGTATTCAAAACAGTTCATTTTGAATAGTTATTTTCTTCAGCAATATCATTAGCTTGGTCAGCCAAGCTGGAAACCAAACTAATGATTTCTGATACTTGTTTTGATCCCTTTCCATTTCCACAGCTAAGGCCCTTATCATCTCATATCTGGAGAATTGTAGTAGTCTACTAACTGATCACTCTTCTCTGGTCTCTCATCCCAAATCATGTACACCCTGTCACAGTTACCCTCCTCCCCACCTCCCTTACTGGGAACTGATGCTAGGTAAGAACGCTACCACTGAGCCTCCCTCCCCACCCTTGTTGTCCTTTTTAGTAACTTTATTTTGAAACAGAGTCTTACCACATAGCCCAGATAGGGCTTGAACTTGGCAGTTCTGTCTCAGCCACTCAGCCAACTGGGATTATAGGCCTGAAAACCATTAGGCCAAGCTACCAGTTAGTTACCTTTTTAAAACTTAAGAAGTTTCCCAGATATTTAGAAACCAGAAAATATCACATTCTCTGGTATGGGTAGTATAACAAATAGTTGTGCCCTACCAGCTAGATGTATTCATAAGTATTAGCATCTTGGCAGTCTGCTTAAGCCTTTTATTTTAAAGAAATGAAACATCAGATATAATTCAAATGCTTTCTGTTCTCTTTGCTGGTCCCTTTCTGCGCCCATCTCCCCTCAGAGACACCAGAGCGGCTGTGTCTAATTTATACCCATGTTTCTTTTATTGTGTTTTGTGTGTGTGTGAGTGTGAGTGTGTGTGTGTGTGTGTGTGTGTGTGTGTTTACATGCATGTGTATATATGTTTGGAGGCTGGGGGTTAACCCCAGGTGTCATCCTCAAGAACTCTGTGTACATACTTTGAAATAGGGTCTCTCATTGACCTGGAGTTCAATTTAGATAGAGTGGCTGGCCAGCAAAGCCTCAAGGATCCTCCAGTGTCCACTTTCTCAGCACTGGGATTATGAGCACATGCCACTACGCTCAGCATTTTTGTGTGGATTCTGGAGATCTAACTCAGGTCTCCTGCTTATAGCGCAAGCACTTTACCAGTTGAGCCATGTCCCCAGGCCTATAACTCATGTTTCTATATTTTTGCTATGTATATATGTACATCATAAATTATATGTTATTGATTTTTCTTTTAAGCTTAAAAGTAGTATACTGTAGATTTCATTTTACAGCTTTTTTAATTTACATATTTGTATGAATGTGTCTGGATTTATGTTTTAGATGGGGCTCCAGTAGACTAGAGCTAGAGATTCTCGTACCTCAGTCCCTCAGGTGTTGGTGTTACAGGCGTATACCACTGTGCCTGACTGCATCATGCTTTTTAGTCACTCAGCATTGCTTCTGAGATAATATTCATATCAGCACATACTGATCAAATTCATTCATTTTAAAAGTGTTCATTATGAGAATATAACATTGTATACATTACCTTTTTGGTAGGTGTTTAGCTTTTCTCCTGCTATTTTGCTATTATAAATGAAGTTGCAATGAATGTCCTTGTATGTGCTTCCTTTTATGAAGGTTTCTAGAGCAGTACTTTTCCAAGGTGGTAGCATGCCCCTGGGGGGCATTTGAGAACTGGTGAAGGCCGTATTTAGTTATTATTGTGGTTGGAAGATACCAGAGGGCTGGGCATGCTAGATGTTGCACAATGCATGGGGCAGTCCTCAAATGAAGAATTATCCTGCATCCTGTACAACTTTCCAGAGTTCCCTAGGATATTCATTTATAATTATCTGGGCCTAGAACCTAACTCCATTTTTTTGTATCAACATAATGTAATTTTTGGCACAGTTTAATATAGTATAATTTCTAGGAATGCAACAACTCTAAAGTAACTCAAAGGGAAATTATACTGATTTGTGGTTTGGAACTTTAACAAGAGTTGTTCCTCAGTTTAGAGAAATCACATAACTAAAAGCAGCACAGCTCGTGGTATTTGAGTTGCCAGTACAACACACCTGGAGAATCTTCATGTGTAGCGTTTGCGCTCCTGGTGATTCTAAGTTTAGGTGCAAGCATCTGACTACTGTACTTCATTATGTATTCTAGTGTAGTCAGCCTGAACATTCATATATTTAAACATATGCTATTTCATTATGAATTACTTCCAACTAAAATCAACTTCTGTACATAACACAAAGTAGAGGTCTAGTTTTATTACTTTTTGCTCAATCATTTGTGCTACCACCACTGTGAAGCCCTTCACCTCCTGATTCCTGCAGCCAGCTCCTTCCTGAGCAGTATGAAGTTCTCATGAATGCATGAATCTGTTTCTGGGTTTTCAATTTCATGCCACCCGTCCCTGTGTCTTTGTACCACTGTCACACTGTTTTAATTACCTTGCTTTTATAACATGTCTGTGGCAGTTGGTAGCAAGGAAGGCAAGTTGCCATCCTACTTCTCAGAACTGTGTCGGCTGTTCCTGGGTTTTTACTGTCCTGTCTGAATTTAGGATTCATTTTCCAGTTTCATAAAAATATACTTATATTTTTGGATTTTGGTTAGAATTGCACTGGGTTTATTGGTTAAGTTGAGCTCTTTTAATTAAACTATCCCTCAAAGAGCATGAGTTATTTCTCTGTTCAGCCTCCTTTATTTCACTATTCAGGTACTTAAAAAAAAAGGTCTTTGCATAATGTTTTATAATTTTACTTATAAAAATCATATAACTCTTTTTTGTGTTTATTCATACTTATACATGTATACATATGCATACATGTTTTTACTATGAAAGTTTCAAATATATTCAAATATGTAGAACATAGTGTATGTAGCCAACATACACTTACCCATTATCTGCCCTCAGCAACTAGCTCATGACTGGTCTGCTTCATGTTAGCCCCTTCACTGCCTCTCCCCCAAATCACATGAAATACCCAGACAGCATGTTCATGTCTGTGTATATATGTATATCATAAAGAATCAGTACCTTAAAAAATAAATATTTCACAGCTGGGCATGATGGCGCACGCCTTTAATCCCAGCACTTGGGAGGCAGAGGCAGGCGGATCCCTGTGAGTTCAAGGCCAGCCTGGTCTACATAGTGAGTTCCAGGACAGCTGGGGCTTGGGAGACCCTGTCTCAGAAAGACCAAAAAAAAAAAAAAAAAAAAAAAGAAAAAAAAAAAAAAAAAAAAGAGAAAGAAAAGAAAACAATATATACATGTATTTCACTTTTAAAAAAAAAAGTAATTCTCCTAATTTCATTGACTATCCAGTGACTATTGAGATTTCTCCCCAGCCATCTCACAGGAGGTTCTTGTAGTTTGCTGTGTTTGAATCAGGACTCAAAGAAGGACCAGGCTCTTATGTTGCATTGGGCTGATTATGTCTCTTGAATTTTTTTCTTTAAGCTTTTTAGTAAACATATACAGTAGCACATGTACAGAAAATGCTCCTTTTCTCATATTGGTCATTCAGTTTACCTTGTTTGTCTTATTTTTTTCTCTGCCTAATCTATTTCTGAAATAATAGTAAAACCTGTTAAATCATGGGTTTACTGTTTATTGTGGTACCTTGATCTATTTTAACTATATCTTTTGAGGCTTTGTTGTTAGGTTCATATTTGCTTCAAGTTGTATTTGTTAAACCATTACTTTTCAAATATTTTTACATTGCTAACTTATATTTTAGTTTGTTTCACTTGTTTATGGCAAACCACATGACATAAAGTTTACCATCTTAACCATTTTTAAATGTACAGTGCAGTAGTGCTCACTACATCTACATTATTGTGAAACAGATCTCCAGAAGCTTCATCTTGAAAAACATGCACTGTGCGCTTTCTAAGCATCGTTCCCCACATTACCGCCCCCCATATTTGCTTTCTTAATGTTTACTCGGATATCTTCTTCAAGTTCTGTGTTTTCAGCCTCTCTTTCATTTGCTTTTTGTGTAGCTTTTGTAAAGAGATGCTGTTATTTTTTTAAATCCAGCATGAGAATCTTTCAGTAGTCAGGTATGGTATATTTGCATTTACTATGATACGATTATTGTTATATAATAGCTTTATTTTATATTCTCGTGTGTGTGTGTGTGTGTGTGTGTGTGTGTGTGTGTTTTACAGAGGATTGCACCCAGAACCTCACCTATGCTAGGTAAATGTTCTACCACCAATCTGTATCTCCTGGCTTACTTCATATTCACTCTTTTTTTTAAAAAAAATATTTGTGTGTATGGTGTATGTACATGTTTGTATACATGTGTGCATGTGTGCATGCAGGGACACACAGTAGTGTGTTTGTGATGGAGGCCAGAAGTCAATTCCAGGTGCCTTCCTCAATTGCTTTTCCACCTTTTTTTTGTCTTTTTGAGACAGTGTCTCCCAGTAGTCCCAGCCGACCTGAACTCACTATGTAGACCAGGCTGGCCTTGAACTCACAGAGATCTGCCTGCCTATGCCTCCCGAGTGCTGGGACTAAAGGCGTGCGCCACTATGCCCAGCTAGTTCCACCTTATTTTTGAGACAGTATTTCTCACTGAAGTACACACTGGTGAACCTGGAGTTCACCAATTGGCTTGACTGGCTGACCTGTGAGCTCCAGGGTTCTCTTGTCTCTACCCCCAGTACTGGGGTTATAGATGGGCACCACTGCACCCAGCTTTTATATGGGTCTGGAGATTGGAACTCGGGTCCTCATGCTTGTGCAGCAGGCACTTTACCAGCTTCGCTGTCTCTCCTGGCCCCTCATACTCACTCTTAAGGAGTCTGCATGCCTACCATAGTGGTATCCCCAAAGAGATTTTAGTTTTGTCTCTATTGGGATCCCATGGATTTCTTCCTTTTATCCTAGTTTTTATATTAATGGTTTACTTTTGAATCCCACACCACCTGATAGTGTAACTTGAACTTTGCCTGCCTGTGATGTTAGGATCTAGATTTCTCTCAGTCTTTTTTTGACATATCCTGAGGCCATTGGCCAGCTATCTTCAAGTAAGACCTTAGGAAGATTTTCAGGGTCTATTTCAAACACTGATTGGCCCTTTGAGGGCCCAAGGTCATGCACTGTTCTCAACTCTGCTTCTCTGCATCATGGGCTGAGACCTGACCTCAGAAACACTCGTAGGCCTCCATCTGGTGCCAGGGCCACTGTGGACTTTGAGCTCAGCTCCTGCTTAGCACTCAGGCTTTGAGGCACATTTAGTTCACAGCACTTTAGATTTTAGTTTATTTCTTTTTAAAAGTCTGTCTTAATAGTTCCACATGTTCACTGTTGTGTGAGGTATGTCCCTTGTGTGAGGTATGTCCCTTGTGAGCCCTGTCTAGCATATTAACCAGAAGTTACAGTCACCTTTCTGAACCTTGATCTGACCTCATTGCCCCTTCACTTGTTTTTTGCAGACTTATTAGCCTTACTTCCTTTCTTCATCCAACAAATATTTATCGCACATAATCTTTATGCTAAGAACTGAGTACATCAGTGTGAGAAAAACAAAGTTTCTGCCCTCATGAGTTTACTATTTCACTGAGGGAGACAGAAACAAACTTGTAAGCAAATGAACAAAGGTGTTAACTATAGTGGCTGTAGATGTAGTTCAGTAGTAGTAGAGCACTTGCCTCACATGCATGAGCCCTGGGAGGTTAACTACAGGTGGTGAAGAGTACACTGAAGGAAATAGTTGGAGAAGAACTCTTTGAGAGAACTACTTTAAATGGTAAGTTGGGGAAGGTCTTTCTGAGATTGACATCCGTTCTCCGATGAAACCACAGTATGGACCGTGATGAGAGGCCAGCCCACCCATGCAAACAGCAGGGGCCTTGCTGGGAGTTGAAGGTTAATCTTGGCAGTAGAAAGAGCAAGGACAAGACCTGGAGGTGTGGAAGCACTTGTTGTGCTGGTTGGAGTTGCTGAGATGATACATGAGGCTCTAAGGAGGGCGGAGTGCTCTCCAGGGAGGATGGAGGCAGATGGGGGCTCCTTCTGCCCCATCATCCCACCACACCGATTCCTTGCCAGGAGGCACCTCCCTTGGAGCCTTTCTCCCTACCTAAGCTCCTGCTGCGCTTTGCTTTTGCAGCTTATCAGAGTGTATATGGATAGCTGTTTGCATCACATTCTCTAGTAGATGTCAAGCTTTTGCTGGAGTATAAATCATACTTCCCTTTGTCACCCCAACTAGGAGCACAGTGCTTTAATCATAAATGTTGATTGACTAAATGTATTTCTTTTAGCAGTTCATGCTTAAATAAGCTTACAAAATTATCAGGTAAATTATCAGGTAAGGAAAACCAGCAACCTAAGGAAGAATCTGTTAAGATTTGTCCCTGATACTGAAAAGGAAATGGTATGACCTCATAGTGGGTTGAATGGTGGCCCCTAGAAATACGTCCATACCTAATCCTCAGAATTTGTGAACGTGACTTTATTTGGCAAAAGGGTCTTTGTGGATGTAATTAAGGTCAGGACCTGAGTCCAGTGATAGGTAGCCTTAGAATGAGCAGACAGCAGATGAGGAAAGTGCCACATGGAGACGGAGACAGTGACTGGAATCACAAGCCCGGGAATGCACGCCTGGAGCCACAGAAGCTGGAAGGGCCAAGGAAGCATCTGCTAGATCCTGTAGGGGGTGTGGCCCTGCTAGCACCCTTATTTTAGATGTGTGGTCTCAAGAAGAGTGAGAGGATGAATTTCTGTTCTGTAAGCCACAATCAGGAAGCTAACACAGTTATACTGCACTTACATCTTCCATAGTGAGGCTATAATACCTTCCTGGTTACCACAATTAAATAAGCTAGGTCTTATAAAGCACTTAGCACCTAGAAAATGTCCAAAAATAATGATGGCTGTTCTTTTAGGAACTGGAAATTTGCTTCCTTTTGTGAATAAGAACTCAACAACAGAGTGGAAATTTCTGTCTTGTGATTGACTGGTGAGTCAAAGTTCGTATCTTAGATTTGACCAGAGCTTCAACTTCTGCTTTGGCCCTGGACCCTTCTAGCAACCTTAGTTAGGATTTTGTGGACAACGAGAGCTCAGGTTTCTACTGTGTAGGCTGAGGGAAGAAGTCAAAGTAGAACTCAAGAGACCAAATTTTAAATGGCACATGTGGAACAGAAATAGTGCCCCAGTCCCCACACAGAGAAAACTCTGGGTTGTACATTCCCAGTTCTCATTAAGAGACTCCGGGACTGGACATTCCTGGAAATTAAAGACCCATCATGAGTGAGCCCCCTAACACATCTGTCATCAAGATTCCACATATTGAGTTCAGGTTTTCTATGTTGTCTGAACACCAGGAGTGGACGAGGAAAGGAATCCATCCAGACCATAGGCTAATGCTGCTCCCTGCCCCCCAGGATGGCTGGCACAGTGCTGGGAGTGGGTGCCGGTGTGTTCCTCCTTGCTCTGATCTGGGTGTTGGTGCTGCTGCTGTGTGTGCTGTTATCCAGAGCCTCTGGGATCGCTAGGTAAGGCATTCTTTCCTGCTGGGAGTCCTAGGTAAAAGCAATTAGAGGCAAAATCGCTGACGCTCATTAAACATTTAGAATTCAAAGATCATTTTTGTAATTACTGGCAGTTTGAATGAGTTGCATTTTAACCTCTTATCATAAGCACTAACTGTGTTATTTATGCTCTGAGGCAGAGGTGGGAGGAGAACGGAAGTGTATTTTTCAGTTCTCACTGAGGAGGAGATGGGGAGGGGAATAAGATGACAAGGGAATTTTGACTACTACTGAATTTCTTGGGCATTGTACATGGGAATTTTTCCTAATTGTTCAGATTTATGACACATTTGGTCCAGTTCCTAAGGTGCTAGCCTGGGCCCAGAGACACTGAGGAAACTTTCAGTGAGTTGGGCTGGCCCTCTGTATCAGGCTATAACCTATCCCTGAAGACACTTGAGAGAGTCACATGCTGGCAGGATTATATCAGTAATAAGCAGAGTTACAGCATTTACTGAAGTATTCTGGTCTGAAAATAACTAAAGTATGCGACCGTGGGAGGGCAGTGCTTTGATTTGTGTGTGTGTGTGTGTGTGTGTGTGTATCTGTGCGCACACACACACCTTTTGCAGAAAGCACAAATGCAAACTATGCATTCTCATTGTTAGGAACTGAGAAGTACCAGGAGTAAATAATGATGTGCCCAGCTAGCAACTGTTTAGGAAGAAAGGCTTTGGGATGGAGGACTTTGTGACAGCTAAGCTCTGAATTTCGTTAAGGGACTGAAACAGAATATTGACCCCAAGGAAGAGCCAGCACTGATGGATGCAGTGCTTTTAATGCTTGTCTCTTTGTCCCCAGGTTCTCCATCGTTTTTGTCTTCCTCGGTGCTCTGATCATCACTTCAGTTCTATTGCTTTTCCCCCGAGCCAGTGAATTCCCAGCTCCAGAGGTTGAAATGAAGGTAAAGCTATTGGCTTTCATTTTGCCCCTAACCTCAGCCTCCTCCATCCTACCCTCTGACCTGAGATGAGTTCACACAACAATGGGGCAAGCTCCATGGGAGTTGCCAGTCTCCTGTCCTTCTACCCTGGAAAAGAATCTGAATCCCACCTGCAGCAGCACCAGGCAGTGGTTTACCCATTGTGCTATCATCTGCAGCTTCCAACAAGTTGTATGACAATGTGGGAAGCCACCCCTGCTGTGGAGACAGGAAGGGAAAAGAGTTGGGAACTGGCACAGGCCTGAAGTGAGGTGCTCCTCTTCCTGGTTGCCTTGGCTGGGAATCTCAGGTCCTGAGTCAAAGTCAATGCCATGCTCTCAGGTGCTGAGTGACATGGTTCCATCTCTCTGAGGTTGACTGTTTCCCCTTGTGGTACTTAGAGAATCACTTCCATAGAGAACAGTGAGGGAGGAGGAGCCTTTCTATGGAAAGTGGAAGGTGGAGTTACAGGTAAGTCCATACTAATGATTCCTTTCATCCTTGTTCCTGAGACCACATCTGCCAGCTCCCACTGCTGAGTAGATTTCTATCCCCTCTCTCGGAGTCTGGATCTGCAGATCTCTCCTGTTGTAATTCAGTCCTTATTTGGGGCTCTGGTTCTGCCATATATGGCTGGTCTCAGACCCAGTCTATGGCTAAGAGTACTGACCTCTTCTGTCCCATTATACTTCTTGTAACTTTCTTTTTCCTTTCAGTTTTAGTTTTGAAATAGAAACAATGATAATAGCTAACATTTCTTAAGGGCATACTCTGGGCCAAGTCTTGCACTAAGCACCTTGTTTATGTCATTTAAAACATACGACACCCATACATAGTAGGAAGTAGGTACTATTATTCTCCCCATTTTATAGATGAGGATGCTGGAGGTTAAGGCAACTTGTCCAGGGTCATACCTACCCAGGAAGAAGGAGGGCAAGGACTGAGCTCTGTCTTCAGAATCACTGGGAACTCAACAGACTATCAGAGGCCGTTTTACAGATTTCATGGATTATCAATTTGATAGACTCTGCAAAATTATGTAATTTTTGAGGTAAAATGAACACATATTCCAATTCTACCTAGGACTAATGATGGTAAAGAGAAGAAAATTAGTTCTGAAAACTCCAAGGGAAATTATGCTGACCACACAGGTTCCAGGAATTACTCCCTGGGGCCAGGTTCTTCTCTCTGTATTTGGCAACCTCTCAGTGTAACTTCCAAGCCAGTATCTTTGTATCTAAGGGGTAGAGTGACATGGGCTGCCATGTTTCTAGATTACTGCAGATGTAACTATTGGGAAAGGCACAAGGCAAGCACGGTTCCTAAATCAATCCCTCTATTCTGGCATCTGGGTTTCAGACTCAGGAGAGGATGGGGACTGAGCAAAGTATGTTCGTCAGCAAGGCCAGCAGAATTGGAGTTCTCATTTTCAGGTTCTGAGAGACATGGTTCCATCTCTCCATTTCAGGTCCCTACAGCAACCTGGCTCAATACTGTATCAATAATACATGGCCTGGGCCTTCTGCACCCAAGGCCCGCTAATTGGCTAATTAAAAAGTGAAACAGTCGAGCGAGCAAACATGTAGCCCACGAGAGACTTGTTCAGTACTGGAGCCAAGGTCAAAGTTATGTTAAAGCTGCTTCATCAAACTGACCTTTGTTGTAAGCTGACTGTTGGAGTAGTCTCTGGAGCCACTAGGGTGGTAGTAGCCATCTTCTTAGTGTCGTTAGATCTTACTCATGCCACTGCTGGGACATCACAGGTTCTTTGTGCATCAGCACTGTATTAGCTTTCTTCTGCTGCTATAACAAATCCTGCCAGCACAACAGTTTCCAACACAAATATGTTATTCACACTTGCATAAGTTAAAAGTCCACTGTCAATCTCCCTGGGCTAAAATCAAGGGGTAGGCAAGGCTGTGTATCTTTCTGGAGAGTATAGAGATATACTTATTCCTGAGCTTTCAGCTGTACAGACTGCTCCTAGTCCCTGGCCCATGGCTGTCTTCATAGCCAGCAACATGTCATCTCTCTGACACTGTGTCCATCTCACATCTTTTCTTGACCCAGTTTTCTGCTCTTTTTTAACTCTGTATTAACATTGTGCCTGCCTGGATTAGATAATCCAAGCCAGTGTCCCTATTTTAGGGTCAGCTGATTGGCAACCTTAACTTCCCTTTGTTATACAATTCAATGTACTTACAATTTCTGGGAATTAAGTTCTTTGGTCTTTGCCAGTTATCTTCAGGCATTTGGGAGTCTTCTAGGCATGAGTTCTCAAGGCGTCTATGAGGTTAGGCCCTCATTTGTTTTATGATAGCTGCTTTTTCCTGCCCAAATTTAAGTACCACTGTTTAGCTCTGGGGAAAGTGGAACTGTAGAAGTAGACAGTAGACAACTGGGTAGAGGCAGGTTGTTACAGGTTTTTGTCAGCAAAGACCAGTAGAATTGGGGTCTCAGGTATGACTGGTTACCAGGCAACTAACTGTATGATCCAGCAAGCTACATACCCTTAGTGTTTTAATATCTTAGGCAAGTAGCCAGTGGGTTGATGGCATTTAGGGTTGGGTCATACATTCATGGAAACTTCCTATACTATTTTATTTTAATGTATATTTCAAAGTCTCGATAATAGTAAATACTTTAACAACAAAATAAGCTGTTCTAGCACCAAGCATGCTGCCATTAATTTTTCAGATAGCTGATTTTACAGCATAAACAAGCTCCTCCAAGGACTTTGAAGCATTGGAACCTCCTAAACTGAGCCATTTGTTCCTGTACCTTCTTACTTTTCTTTTTTAAACCTTGTGTCTCCTATTCAGAGAGCTGAGAAAAAGGTTTTTCATACCCATATATAGAGGGAACCCAGGGCCAGATGCTGCTGGAAGTTCAGCGTATGAGCCAAGGAACTCGGGTACATTCGTCAGATCTCATCAGATCTCGAATTAACACTGGCAGGGCTGGAGTGGCGGCGATTCCATGTTGACTTTCTCTCTCTCCAGATCGTGGATACCTTTTTCATTGGCCGCTATGTCCTGCTGGCTGTACTCAGCGCTGTCTTTCTTGGAGGCGTCTTCTTGGTTCTTACTCAACATGCACTGGAGCCAATCTATGCCAAACCACTGCGGTCCTGCTGAGCACTGTTCCAGAAACGCAAGGCATTTTGCTGTGATGGGTGAGCAGAAAGGTACTCTTCAGAGCCTTGATTGACAGTCTTCATGTCTTCAGAGCAGAGGAATATCCATTTACCACTAAGACAACTCTCTTGAGCCCAGGATTTCTGAAACTGCACAAAGTAGACCTGTGGGCAAAGATGGTCACCATCTGAAGAGGGACACTGCTGTTTTCTTATACCCATACTTTAGGATTTCTGTCTGTTTTGAAAGGGATGTAGTAACAGTGATGTGCTTGGAATAATTTTCAGTTGTCATTAGTAGCAAATTTGGGGAGAAGGAACAGAAGAACCTGGTTCTTTTTGATAATGTGTAAAATTCTTAGCTGTGTGACTGGAATCATTTGGAAGAGAAGGGCATTCAAACACAAATGGTTGCTTTAATGTGATAGCTTTAGAAGATGTGTTAGGTGGCGGTCATTGACCATCCCATGGTGTAATTCATAGAGCTATCTAAAGGCAATCGGTGTCACTTGTGCTCTAATAAAGCAATGAATAACCAAAGGGATAAATTTCTCTTCACACTCCTGGCTACAGCTTTTGTATATTTACTGTTTACGTTTCAAGTTTGCTTAAAGATTAGAGAAAAGGCATGGAAATGGTTGGTGTCTTCCTCCATGTATCCTAGCTTTCTTCTTTCAGGATTTGGCGGATTCTGGATGCCTTTAAATATTGTTTAGTATTATACGAGTCCACTTTGGGCTTTGGCTCTTTTTATTTTCTTTTGGCAGTACTGGGATTTGAACCTAGGGCTTCACACATGCTAGGCAAGCCCTCCTTTTACTTTTTGTGAGTCCACTTTGGGCTTTGGCCCTTTTTATTTTCTTTTGGCAGTACTGGGGTTTGAACCTAGGGCTTCACACATGCTAGGCAAGCCCTCCTTTTACTTTTTGAAAAAGTCTCACTAATTTACTCAGGCTAGCCTTGAACTTACTCAGACAGGCTTTGAACTTACCATCCTGCCTTAGTCTCCCAAGTAGCTTGGATTTTAGCCCTGAACCACCAGGCCTGGCTCTTTTCAGCTGGTTGGTTGGTTGTTGGTTGGATTGGTTGGTTTGAGACAGGGTCTCACTATGGCGCACAGACTGGCCTGAACTCTTGATCCTTCCACATCAATCTTCTCAAGTTCTGGGATATATGGGTATATGCCAACATGTCTGCTTCTGTCTTTTCATCTTGGAAGTTCTTTCTCCAAGGCTAGTAAGGAATGTATATTCTTAGCATTAGATTATAACTTTACATTTATCTAATTTCCCAGATCAAGTGAAATTTGTCACTAAATAGGTGTGGGGATTTTAATCTACCCCATTGTGGAAGTGCCATCCTGTATCTCTAGAGCAATGTAAAGAATAGTCTTTTAGCTTAAAATTAAGAACCAAGAGAGCAAGCTGGAAAGATGAATTAGGTAGCTGCTCTATGCCCATGGTATGCTCATTCCCTGGAGACTTATTTAATTTTTGTTTTTAATTTTTACAAAAACTTTATTGAGAATTTCATACATACATATAAGGTGTTTTGATCAAATCCATGCCCACTCCCTCCCCTCCAACATTCCCCCCTCTGAAAAGGTAACCCTAAAATCTTTTAAGGATTAGATAAAAGCGCCCAAATGTTTTCAACATTTTTGGCCTTTGGAACAGAGTAGGTTGCTAAGAGGCCCAAGGACACTGTGAGTTTTAGCCAAGAAACTGGCTACTTTCCTTTGGGGTCTTTCTACCCTAACTGCATAACAAATTCCTTTTATCACACCATCCTCTGAAGAGGTTACCCAACTTGAAGTTAGGGAATACAGATGCAGGCCTCTCTGGCTTCTTCCATTCTGAACAGGGATGCAGGGTGAGGCAATTGGAGTACCCCCTCAGTGGGTCTATCTAAAAGACTCTCAAATTGTACAACTTTTGTCTCTAAGGGGAGAAGAAAGTCCTTGAATCGTGATGTGAAG